TTACACAGATAACTTATAACATGCGTGATTTTAAACACATTTGCAGTAGTGTGACGATAAGAATATGAAATAAGCTGGTAATACTCGGAATTCGTTTCGATTTCAGCGCATAAAATCACATTCGTATCGACAATAATGTGGCATGTACAATTGCAAAAAATCTGAAAGAGCTTACAATTGCAACGCAATAAACGTAAAAACACACATTCTACTAGCCACACATGATATACAAGCAAAGGAATTATCGAATATTATCGAACTATCAAATCTGTAGTGTACTAAAGAAGAAGCAAAAACGTTTACAGATTAAGACCTAAGATAAAAACGACAATATTTTCAAATAAAATGTTTTGTTTTTAAAACTATACCATAGATTTATTAATGGAATATCAAGTAGTCTACCAAAAGAAATCATTAGCAAAACTGCAAAACCATAGAATCGCTACATCTGCGCGTGCGACTATTCCGCCGCGTCTGCGCGTAAAATCGCCAAGGACATATTTATCTGAGCGGAATGCGCTGGGCATGGTAAACAATGCTGAACCATATTTTGCGGCCGCGCCCTGTGGTTGACGTTTGGTACCATTCCGTACTAATTAATAGTTTATATTCGATAGAAGAGACATTTTTACTGGTTAGTTAAGCATTCAAAAGTTTTCACCCGTATGTACGGACGAAAGCATATCAGGCTACCCATTTTTGTTGCAAATTCGCTTCTATTACAACTGCAATAAAGCCCACTGTGTTTACCTTGACATCTGTAACAATATGCACATTACTACCTGCTTCTAAAACACCTTATGAATTTGTCACCATATCGTTTAAAAATGTCTACCTACTTCTTACTTCTTTTACTTGAAAATCAAATCTTTTTGGGTTTTTTGGCTCCAGCCAGCTACCCAGCTTTTGCTATCTGGTTTTACCAAAATGTAGAGTTCGCAATTACGCCAGAACATAATTAATTAGATCATGTTTAGAACAAAAAAGAAAACTAGTTTAAAAGGAAGACTCATTGCATTAACAAGATTAATAAACACGGAATTTCTCGGCATGCTTTATCTAGAGCCAAAGAATTTCGTCTTCTCTAAATATTGGACCTTTAACATACATCATTGCCATCGTTTTAGCGGATAGGTGACCGGTTTGGTCCATTCCAGCAACACTTTGCTTGCCAGTAGGGCTACCAAAATTATTATCAAACCACTTTTCCTTTGGGTTGGTATGGACAGGAATTAAAGAATGTTCCTGTATAAAAATAACAATTCAGGAAAGGATGAAGATTTCATGATTTCGAATTGATTTACTTATTCTTTCTTAGAATAGGCACATAAAAAAATATATTGTTTGATGATAAAGTAGTCTAAATTCTTAATTAGGTCATAGTTCTAATCCTAGCTAAGAGAGTAATAACGGAATCTTGACCAAATTTTTGTGGTGGAAATATTGAGAAAATATTCTAGAGAACAGCTCTACATTCGATATCGGTCCACGACACAGCGATTTCAACGTAAACCAGTTGGTAACCCTAAATGCCGGTCACCTTGGTGCGTAACGTGTAAATAACAAGTTAAGAATGTTTGATTTGGTAAACGAAATCGGAGTTATTTGGCGCCCACTCAAAGTCAAGAAACGCAGAGCCCAGCCCCTATGTTACGGTCGAGGGAGCCGTCTTGGGCGTGGGAAGTATCCGCAAGATACTTTACACATACTTGGGTTACACAATCTTGGAGCTTCGTTACAATCAATGGTACAGTTAACCCAAAAAACAGTCCGTATACCCACGGAGTAAGGTTCGAAATAGCCAACGCGAGGAAGGTTGTAAACACACGTAATACCAAAGCTAGCGGACACGCAACAGAAACCTCAGAAGCTTGCAATGTTTCTTGAAATATAAAGCTTGTTTCAAAACTTGGAATCAACTTGTTTTTTAGTTTGGAAATTCTACGAGATATGGAATTCAACAGATGATTAAAATACCGTTTATGTAACGCATTTGTCTTTGAAATCGGTCATAAAAAGAAGTAATGAAAATTATATGAACAGGAGGATCAAAAGGTCGAATAATCCGGTAATATTCTGCAACAGGATATTTATAACGATGATGACTGAAGTCCCTATTTAAATATTTGTCGCATTATGTCACCTAATACTCAGCTACATAATAACAATGTTATTAAATATCAAAACAAATGGACGATTTAGTTCCAAAATAGCTCTTCACTAATTTGCATCGCTATCTACGTGAAGTTGTACATAACGTGTCACGTCATGTGCTTATTATCATAAACGACATTCCAAATTCTAGAAAAACAAACTGTACCTAATCAAGAGCTCCTTCTCATCGTCAAGTTCATAATGACTATAAAACCATCACAAGAAATTAGTGACGCCAAATTAAAATCTTCGGAAACAAACCATTCGTCGACACAATACGTAATTGCTGCATTATTTATAGTAAGGCCGTTGTAAGTGGTTGAGCAAACAATTACATTATTAAATTGGCCATCACGACACTCATTGGTCAGACATCAAGACATTCCTATTCGTATACGCATCCAGGCGATTCCCACATGCATTTCCCTACAGCCAGGCTGGCATACCTAACTCAGATTTCACTCGCAACATAGAATTATGCATTAACGATGAACAGAACGCAACACTGGTATGCGAGCCAAACAATGTACCGACGCAGTGAAACTGCATTCAACCGATACAATTAAAGTAATAAACACCGACGTACACGGGTATAAGTTCCCATTCGCTTGTTAATCGCCGCTATCATTGTCTTCCCCGCTTCCTTGCCTAGAGAAACAATGAGCGGTTTTTCCTCGATCTACAATGCGTAGCTGTCGAACGCTTCTGTATCGTCGAGTTTTTGCCCCATCTTTTTCAACCGCCCCATAAGTTTACGTATCACACTGCTCCTTAGATCTGTGAAAACCGCAAAATGCTCATTCGCACGCAACGCCTAGTTACAGGCTCATAAGAGATGCCACTTATCGCCGCAAATGCTAGCCCCTGCGTGCAAGCACCATAAAGTTCTCTATCGGAGCAAACGACGACACATCGAGACCCGGGCGAAACTTTTGTTCCATAAACAATCACAGAAATCTCGAATTCGAAACGGGATGATCTGCATTAAGAACCAGCTCTAAAATTAAAACATTCTCGTGTAAATAATTGCATTCTGGCAGAAACACGCGGCTCCATACTTGGCGGACATTTTTCATAGAGCATTTAGGTCCCTCGTATAAGGTTATAGTGTGGTGTATGCGCCAGAGACGTGGTCGGGTTATTTTTAGACGTTAATAAATTGGCTTAGTGGCTCGGTTTATTATGTGCGCGTTTTGCACAAGTAGACGTCAGTGACATCCGCGGTGCCTCCACTTCTAGGTCATTCTGAACTGTCACTGCCATTTTGAGTGCCTGCTTAGCATTCTGTTCAAAACAATGCACTCTGTTTAACTCAAGTTTATCCGTTCAGAGCGCATTCTTCTCAGCTTTAGCCTGATTTTATTCATCGACTGTAAACATTTTAGCATTTAAATATTTTTTATATCTTTTTCCAAATATTTAGCTCGAGTATCTTAGTCTTAAACCGACCACGGTGCTGATACTGTGGAATGCACTTTGCCAAAAGGTTCAATAAAAATACCACTTTATGTTTCCTGTGTCAGCGGCCAATTTTATTGTGGTGTCAATGTACTGGAACCAGATTCTCCGTTTGCCTTCTTAAGCTTAATCAATTTAATCCACATACGCGTTTAGTGCGTAATATTTGGCCGGACCTTTTTGTGTAGCTCTTTCAAGTTTAACATTAAATATCACAAATATTTTAACAGATTGGAATTTTATTTCTTCAGCTTTTTTGTGTCTTTTAACAATGAAATGCTTTAAAGGATCAGAATCACTTTTATCACTGCTCTATAAAGCTTTATTTACATTGACGATATCTGTATTATGCATTGCTCCAAAGCTCGAAACCCAAAAGCTTCGATGGTTCTACATAATTTTATGTGTCTCTGATGAAATATTAACCTTTTGCATAGGTTTCTTCACATCCATCACTCCATCTTTATCCACAAGAGATCTGCAAAATATTCTCGTTAACATCTCAACGCGACCATTTAGCATTTTTAACTGTATCGGTGCATTTTTCAGTGCAGGTGCCAAGTTTATAAGGTCAACATTTTAAGACAATGATGCAGGTGTCGTTTAAACTATGGTAAATAGATACGGCTAGAGACATGATCGGTATTTAATAGGGATGTCTTACGGCACCTGTAGCTCGGTGGTTGGTGAAGGGGGAGCTTGCGGGGTTAGGGGAGGGGCGTTGTGCCGCTTTAGAAAGGCGCGACCATCGCCGCGGGCTCAGGCCGGCCACATTCTATGGCCTGTCATTCACACCGCGCGACTCGCCTATGTGTTGCATTCCATCTCCCACCGCCCGAGCTATCGCTCCGTACACACACGCGTGTACCTTACGAAACCACCATCTAGGCATGCCACACTCATGCTTAACACATAAACGCTTCATCGAATTATTTCTGCGCCAGTTCGGCCACTAACGTTGCTATGAACCAGTTCCGTGGCCCCATTTATCCCGCACTGACGACGCTCAGCTATCAATCGAACCCTTCAACAACAACCACGCCACAATGCACATTCCGAAGGATAACAAATGATAACCATAATTTTTGTTTAGCTCATTTGTTGTCACTAAATTGTGGAATGTCGTGTGAAATCGAAACAGTTGCGCGTGTTTGCTGCCAGAGCGCAGCAGCGGCGCGACCAGCGAACAGTTTGTTTTTCACGATTTATTCTATTTTAGAACTATGTTTACCACTCGCAAGTTCACCAGGGCGGATTATAACGTTTGCACTTTTCACCACTGACGCCACCACATGCAAATTCAAACAGAAAACTTCAGAAATCACATTGGAATGTAAAGTTTTGACATGGGGCTCTTACGGGTTAACACTTCTCTTTGGAAAACTTACCTGTCTCGCGGGTCGATCCACGTCGTTTTTCTACTGTTGTGATCGATGAAATACAGTTTTCCGTCAAAGTCCCTCGCGTAATCCCATCCGTCGGGCAAGGGTATCTCACCGTTTCGTCTCCTTGGCATATTTCACTGATTAAATCCATTCAAACGAATAACGAAACACACTCGCGAACTAGCTACACGGCCATGTTGAATACCTCATTACGAGGAGTGACGTCACGCGGGATCGGCCAATGGCGGCGAAGGGCCCCCACGATGGAATGCGGCGCGTACGCGAGCGCGAACACAGAGTGCTTTCGTACGTCACTTGTCCGACAGCGAAGTTACACGCGACCGCTCCACGCGACCCCTCGTCGCTTACTGAGCCGCGCCGACTCGCCGCCACGTTATCACAGCTCATGATAATGTTCCAACACCTACTGTCTAAATGCATTCCTCAGGCTAATGTTTACATTATACACAGAGGGCACACACGACAGTGGTTCACCAGAACCGAATCACTAACTGATGCTTCAACTATGCGAACTCGGAAAGCGCGAAACGAACTGGCAATGTGAGCAAAAAGTAGGTAGTTATGCTTACCCATTCAATCTATTTACGATTCAGGCGTGTACATAGCTATACGTAGACGTGTACAGAGCGCATTCCACAGCGTATGTACAGACGTAGGTACATACAAATTGCAGACAGATAGTTCGTCGCCGCGATACGTAAGTAGGTACATTTATCTCATTGAACTCGCTACTTAGTAACCCAATATTGCTAATAAATCAATGCAAAGAATAATGATGCAGACATGTTTGTTATTTTATAACTTTTGAAATTATCAAGGTGTTGGTTAGAATGTATTTTACACCTCTGATATTATTGTAGAGCCAAACGATTTGACCCTGAACAGATGGTTTGACAGCAACAGGTACCTACTTGCGTATATTTTATTGGCTTGCCTTACGTACGTATCTACCTGCTTACTTTCTGGATTACTGAATGAATTGAGAAAAAACAAGGGTAAAACGTTTTAACAGGTAGAGTTTGTGATTTTGTGGGATTTTGTCGGATCATTTTCTCAAAAACGAAAGGAGTTTGATTTCGATATTGTTTAAAAATTACATCTAAACAGTTCTATGGTACCTACTACTAACTACCTTCATACTTTGTAAAATAGGATCAATAGAATAGGGTAGAAATACTGCTGATACAAACTGATTGATATTCGAAAAAATATAAGAGAAAAGGTAGAGCGCTATTTTCTCAAGAATAACAAATACTTCATACATGTAAATGAGTCCAAAAGTAAACCGATTGCTTTCAATAAGAATTATCTAGAGGATTTTGAAGACTGAAGCATTTTATGGACCTATGTATGACTCTACAATGAGCGTAAACAACTTTAGACGCGAACTCGTCAAAGCTGTCTAGAAGACTTTGGAAAAGGGATCGTCAGATGGATTTGTCAGCAACATAAATGTATCAAACAGCACGAAACTCCATTGATTTGGATGATTCATTAATACAAGGGAAATAATCATCACACCAACTAAATGTCATGATATGGAATTTGCCTCTGCTAAGTAGTGCTAAGGCTAAAAATATTACGAATAATCTAAGTATTACTGGACTATTCCCACTTCTCGTTCCCACCCCTGTAACTCCTGTGTAGCCAGGTCTATTCCAATTTGATCACCTGGATTTGATCATCCAGGTGCAGATCAAAGTGGACTCGAGGCGAGAGGCGACACTTTTGGTGTCCTTTGATCACCCATGGATAAAATCACCTAGATGAACAAAGTAGAATAGACCTGTAGCCATGATCTCCCCAACCCGACTGACCAACGTGGGAAGTAGGTAAATTAGAGGTCTATTCCACTTTGATCACCTGGCTTTGATCACCCAGGTGATCAAAGTGGACTTCAAGCGTCAATTTAATGTCCTTTGATCACCCTTGGATAACATGACCTGGGTGATCAAAGTGAACTCCATTTTAATTAATATTTTAGTTTCCTTTGATCACCTATAAATAAATTACACCACTGAATAGTCACATAGGCATGTCCAATTTGTTGTTGCGGTTTTAAGAAAATATCAAAAATTTTACAAAACAAAATGTGTAAGTACAACAATTAGACATAAGACTATTCAGATGAGGTGAAATTAATTTATTTATAGGTGATCAAAGGAAACTAAAATATTAATTAAAGTGGAGTCCACTTTGATCACCCAGGTCATCTCATCCATGGGTGATCAAAGGACACCAAATTGTCGCCTGAAGTCCACTTTGATCACCTGGGTGATCAAAGCCAGGTGATCAAAGTGGAATAGACCAAATTAGAGAGTTATGTTCCTGCAGTGGAGACCGAAATCTGATGATGATGATAAATTCAGTAGGAATACCTACGACGAGTATGACTATAGGTACCTACCCCGGTTTATGGATTCAATTCAGAAACCACCCGATATTCTAAGAGGGACCAATGACCATTCGTAAGAAATCATACTGGAATACAGAAAAGCTTCTTAGTCGTAATTTTCTGGACTGACATAATAAATTCTGAGAATGACGAAACTACGGGATATCACCCTAACATTACATGATCGGGTCAGGGCCCTCCTTTTCACTAACCTCGCCAAGCATTTTGTCACATTTATAAATCACACAGCCGAATAATGGAATTCTAAGGGAATTCTCTGTTTACGTCTTATGTTACGCGACGCACTTTTGCCATTTTAAAACTAGGGGGTAGGTAGAGGTACCTACCTACTTAAGTACCTATGAAAATTAAGTTGACCTACCCTACTATTAACTGACTTACCTACTCATACACTTACTATTTTTTTTTCTAAGAACTTAGCTACTGAATAATAATATTATACTTACATTACTAGGTAATAAAGTACCTACCACCTACCTACCTTCTACACAAAATTTCATACTAAAACTTACCCCATAAAAGTTTCACGATTAACACTAAAATTCTGATACAAAGAAAATCATTAACACAAAGAATGCCAATAAAACAAAACCATTTCACGTTGTTTTTAATTTTAAAATTGCAAGAAAACATCATTTTTCTTTTGTTTTTGTTGGCCAGTTTCAAAGCAGTCAAAAAAACGTTTGGTAGTAAAACACATGCGCAGAGTTTGTTCATGTCATAAGAATCCCATCAATGTAATTTTTTTTTCGATTTTTATACTAGACTATGAAAAGTGATAAAACTATACAGTATTTATTATATTCCCTTAGGATTTTTAATTTACTTACTTAGAAAATACTGTAAATAATATTTGAATTTATTGAATCTAACATTTTCCATAGATTCGAACGGTCCCCGTAAATTATGTCATTTTGACATTAGCTGTCATGATCGTTGGCTGGCGAGCTGACTTGTCACAACATACGTGTTTTACAAAAGTCGTAAAATTATTTGTAATCTTACAAAATTCCTTAAATTTCGCGAGTAAGTCATCCTGATAGAATAGTACAATGCCTTCGAGTGACAGCGAAGATTTTGAGAGCGCTGACGAAGGCCAGACACATATGGAAAGAAAGGAAAGAAAAAAACGTTTATCTTCATCAAATTATAGCGACAATGCATTAGAATCGGACTTGGGGCCTAAGGAAACGTCGAGCAAAGGTGGCATCGTCGAGAAACCTAAGGTAAGTGGTATAAATAATGTTTTAAACATTGGTGTGGTTACACCATATTTACTTAATTTACTTGCTGTATGTTTGTCTTTACTTGACTCAATTCAGTCCTACAGTATCACTAGTTTGTGTCCTCCTATTACAAGCTAAAGTAACTGGGCATTTACTGTATGATTTTCACTCAATTATTCTTAAATAGGTGGAAAACAGTCATTCAGTAAAGCAAACTAAATCTCTCTTTCTTACAATATTCTTTATCTGTTTTCAGGAAGAAACAAAAGATGGCTGGGATGATTTTGACATAGATAACAATGAACTAGACGATAATGTTAGCAAAACAGCTGTTTCTAAAAAAGAAAATGAACCTAAAGCTAAAGAAAGCACAAAATCACAGGACACAGGCTGGGACGACTTTGATGATTGGGGGCAGGATGAATTTACCAGCAATGAACCCAAAAAGGTAATAAAAATTATTAATAACCTGTTATATCTATCACAATGAATCTCCCAAGTATATTAAATAAATCAACATTAGGACAAAAAAAATAATCTAACACTTCTATTTAGATTTTTATTTATTACTCTACCTACATCATTATCACTAGCCCAGATCTGTCCACTATTGTATCTAGATTTCTTCAAGTTGTTCTGCGGTCCTTTCTATCGTTTTTGCTCTATCTGGGCTACTAAGTCATGCCATACCCATTTATATTGATTTTAACACTTCACACCAATATACAATAAAATAGGTAGGGTGATTGCTATAGTAATTAGCCTATACATAGTTATTGGTATATTGGATTGTATAAGTAAGAGACAAAAATATTTACTACATTGGACTGCGTATTGCTCAGAAAAATATTTGTCTCTTTTCCTCTCTTAATAACTCCCATTAGGCTTGTTTCTTTTTATTTTAGGCAAGTTGGTCAATAACTATGTATTGGCTAATTACTATAGCGATCAACCACCCTACTTGATTACTATTTATTGTCATACAATAACAAAACTTGTCCTCAGACCGAACCAGCAAAACCAGCTCAGCAGGAACCCGATGCCAAGATCAAGGAGGTCACCGAGAGGCTCGCGTCGACCAGCACTAAGGGCAACAGCTGGGGCTGGGGGTGGGGCGTAGACTCGCTGCTCAGTACGGCCACTGCTGGCATCACAACGCTGACCAATCAAGTTTCACAGGTATATATTGTATTTGATCATTTATATTTACCAAATCTAGTTATGTGACATTACAGTGTTTCATGTTTAAAAACAGAAACAAGACAAATTATAATACTATTGTAGGCCCCTTTTGACTGTGCCAAAAAGGACAGCTGTTCAGTATATCTGGACCAAGTGTGTGGCTAAACACTGATTTAATAGTCAGAAAATGGCTACAAGATTTTTCATTATCAATATGATTGTTTATGTTTCATAACTTCATTTCAAGATATGCTTGTTAGTATCACCAGAGTAAATACAAATGAGTAGGTCATCTTCATAGAAACGCCCGAACGCGGTTTGTATGTGAGCGCGCCAATACGTATGCGGCGCGCACGCACACACTGACAAAATTTAGCGTTGACTATTACTTTTTCTGTGGCGTTGATTAGCGGTGAGTTGCCCCGAATTTTGTCAGTGTGTGCGTGCGCGCCGCATACGTATTGGCGCGCGCTCACATACTAACCACGCTCGGTGCGTTTCTATGAAGATGACCTACTCATTTGTATTTACTCTGGTATCACCCACCATTATCTGTACTCTAATTTTAATTTAAAATTAAGGGAGCTCACAGACTAACGACAGTTTATCGGCTTATGATGTCGCTGATGGTCGCCGACGATAGATATTCAAATTAGACGACCGTCGCCGACGCATCCGTATACCGCCGATGGTCGCCGACAGTCGCCAATGTATCGCGACTCTCGAAGACGTGCAGTCAGAGAGTGTCAACATGTCACGACAGTGAAAGGCGTAAGTCGAAGACTGTCGCCGACAGTCGCTTACAGTCGCTCGCCGTCACCTACCACGATCGCAAGCAGTTGCCGACATAATGTCGCTCGTCAGTGAGGTCTCTAAGTCAGTTTATTGAAGTTATCAGTTTTAATTTACTTTAAAATTAAAAAAAAATACTAATGTTCCAGGGAATAACAACAGTTCTAGAAACAGGCATCGGTGCACCAGACCCTGAAGAACTGGCTAGAAAGAATATGAGAGAGGCTGAGGCAGCCAATAAAACTGAACAAACCACACCAGGTGAAGTCCAAGAGAAGGCTGAAACGCCTGTCTCGAGTGAAGCGGCCTTTCCATTTGGCAGTCTCTTCTCTGGTGTTACCAAGTTTGTTGAGACCACAGGTAAATGTACAAAAAATTACAAGTTTTTTCTTGGGAAAAATCAGGTTGAATAATATAAGGTTTAGACATGCTCCTAGAATACTTGATAAGACCCCTGTCTTTGACTGTAAAGTGAAATAACTTTGTGATCACAGAATATAGGCCAGTCTCTGTTTTAAATCAATTGATTACTTTTTGAACATAATTGCAATGAATGCATTCAACCATTGGTCAGAAGACATAGTAAGGGCTGGCCTCTCACTAGGCTGATTGACAATCTGGTGAGAGTAGCGGGAGTGTACTTAGATGTAGGCAGCACAGGACCGGTTGTTGTGTAAGTCATTGAGGCCTTTGTCCTGCAGTGGACGTCATTTGGCTGAAACAAACAATACCAAATTGTAGATACTATTGCATCGGAGTTAATTTTAAAATTTCAGGTACAAAAGTAATAGCAGGCGGTCTTGACACTCTAGAAACGATCGGCAAGAAGACAATGGAAGTCTTACAAGATGGGGACCCAGGGTTGGCCAAGAAGAGAGCCATGCTTGGTCTGGACTCTGGTGACAAGCCGGTGCTCTCCCAGATCCTGAGAGAGGCCAAGGCTAAAGCGGAGGAGGATGACAAATTGAGAGAGGAGAAGAGAGAAGCGAAGGAGGTCCATTATGAGCGGCTGTTTGATGACTTTGAAGGTTAGTCTACTTTTCTCATAAAATTAGGTCAAACGTTCATATGTATTCCAAAAACACAGTAATAAAAGTAACAGTATTATGGTAAGAGCATGTGTTCAGTCTGCTTGCAGATGTACGTATTAGGTACATAAAGTTGATTTGAAAATTTTACACAGCACCATCTATTCAAATCTAGGCTACAGTTAAAAATTAATCAGAATGTAGAAAAAACGAGCTGAAAATATATCATAATTATACACCAAAGAGGAGCGGACCTTTTTTGCAATACCATTGGTGAATGTTTACCTCGCTCACCGCCTTACGTCCGGCTTTAACCCATCAAACCCCAAGCTTTCGCTTATAACCGCATAAAAACACCATTTTGTATTACCATGTTTCTGAGCATATAAATGATTTATTTACTTCTCTATCTGTTGTGTTTCCCCGCTTGAAGGGAAAACATCTAATTACAAAGAGCACCTTATTTATAAAATTCCAGGTCTCGTACACCTGGAAGCCCTGGAGATGCTGTCGCGCCAGGTGTCGCTTCGGATAGACGAGCGCATGCGTGGACTGGACCCCGCCAAGAGACAGGACATCAAGGAGACCATGCAGCAAGTCGCAGGTTCGATGCTTTATTTGATCATCAGGTCATTTAGTCTCAGCAGGAGTACGACCACAGAATAATAATAAGTACTACGTACAGAAGTTTTACTTCGCGAAGGTATTTAAAAAATGTATGCTCAATGTCATTAACAATATGGTGTAATTTAGCCTGTCTCAAGAGTCAAGCACCATTTTGTTGACAAACGTCAGTGATCGGCACTGCGCCGAAGCTATAGGGCTGACTTCGGTAAAATGATGTGACGTGAGGTGCCAAACTGCGGAAAATGGCGGAAAACTGCGGAAAATGGGTGCCAAACTGCGGAATATATTTTGTGTTTCTATTTTCAGGCAGTTAAAATACTGCACAGTATTAATTACACCACCGTTTTTTCTACTTTCCATCATACATGTTTATTGTCTTTACAATGCAAATGGGTGATGAACACACGTGCGTCAATACTTGCTCGTGAGTGTCCTGTCGATTAAATATCCCAGTAGGTGCCGTCGCGCGTGTTTTGTTTTCCATGCAAACTCACGGAGATGAACAGGCCTGGCTAAACTCAGTTAGTGCCTGAGGTATGGGTGCGGCGTCAAACGTCAGCGAGACTTCAGATTTCCTTCAGATTTATATGCTCACGTCATGTATGTCAATATTACCCCCAGACTTGTCTTATAGTTTCAGCCAAATGACGTCCACTACTGGATAAAGGCCCAAAGATTTCCACAAAGACCGGTCCTGCGCTGCCCGCATCTAGGTACTTCTAATGCAAATATATTTAATTTGCGAACATGGGTATTACAAGTGGGTATTACAAGTAGGTATTACTTCCCGCGACCTTGGCCAGTTCGTCGGTCCACTTGGGGAAACTTCTCTAATTTACCAGAGGCAAATGAAAGATTCTGCCCACTCTCCCCACACTGGCCAGATTGCTATACATATTATACATTTTGTTACTCATCTAAAAGCGAAATCCCAAAATTCACAGAACTATGCGAGATGCCAGAAGAGGATGATGATGACGAGGAGCCAGCATCAGAAGACATGTCCAAGCCAGACGTCTTCCACGAGCGCCTCCAAACCGCTACACAAGACCTGGGACTCAAGCTGCAGTTCCAACCGCTTGTTAAGTAAGCGCCCTTTTCAATCGGGAGCTCCACCACAGCTTGACACCACAGTCGATTGACATTCTTTATATGAGCTTTCAAGAAGATCCCCAATCCCATATTTTATTTTCTATTCAATTCTGAGTTACGACTTCACATTTCTGCCAACTCATAATTGATTAGTCGCGTACGAAACGCTACCGCTCGATCGACAGAGTTACATTGTTACATTCGCTTTCACCTGATCATCACTTACCATCAGGTGATATACAGGCCAAGAGCTTCCTCGATGTGGATAAAAAAAATGTTTTGTAGTACGCGCGAGTTCATGTCCATCGGGGCCTTACTTACTTATACTTATACTTACTTATAAGTTGAAAAAAATATGGAATAAGTAGATAAGGTTGACCTACTTAATAGGTAATCATTATCGATATCGACATTAGCATAATTAGTTAGGTAACAACCTATGCTGCAAGCAGGCGTACGAATATTTGTACGCTAACTATCTAATTATTTCCAAGCTACAAAAAAAATAATTACTTACCTACAGCAAATTGAAAACCAACTCAATTTTCATACCTAGATTAAATTGGATTGATTCTTCATCGCTTCATTGTTTAAAAAGCTTTACCTATTGCATTTTAGGCAGTACACAGACGTACTAGAATGGCTCGAGACCGCAGAACCATTAGAGAAAGGCATCTACAAGCGAGCTGTGTCCAGCTTAGCTCAGTGCACGGCGCTGGCGGTGCTAACGTACCACAAGGCAGCTGAAATGCTGCTGGTCAAGCCGCGCCGCTCCACTGCTGACGAAGCCGATGCGCTAACACAGTAAGTGAAAGTCATTCATCATCATCATCAGACGCGCCACTGCCGACGAGGTCGATGCGATTACACACTAAGATCAACATCTTTACTGCCTTCATCTTTATCAACATCAACAGAAGCTCCACCGCCGACGAAGCCGATGCGCTTACGCATCTCATCATCATCATCATTTCAGCTACATAACGTTCACTGCTGTATAGAAGCGTTCCCCAATAATTTCCAGATTGGCCGATTGTAAACGGCACGCATCCAGCGCATTTTTGCAACCTTCCAAAGCTCTAAGACATTCCAAATAAAGAACTAGATCCACCAGTCAATAGCAGCTAAGTTATCCCAAGTTTCGAATATTGCCATCCCTCTCACGCAAAGCAAGATGCCAGTATGAGCGACAGTGACAGACAGACCCGAAAATACGTGAACAGCGTTTAGTTAGGCCTGCTGTGTCCAGCTTAGCTCAGTGCACAGCGCTGGCGGTGCTAACGTATCACAAGGCAGCTGAAATGCTGCTGGTCAAGCCGCGCCGCTCCACCGCTGACGAAGCCGATGCGCTAACACAGTAAATATATTGTCCCGCCATCATTATCGTCATTATCATTTGCTAAAATCATAACCGCTGCTACCAACCGGGTAACATGGAAAGCATTGGGGGAGGCCTATGTTCAGCAGTGGACGTCCTATGGCATGACTGAGATGATGATGATGAAAATCATCATTATTAAACGCTCCACCGCTGACGAGGTCGATGCGCTTACGCCCTAAGACATTATCACTATCATCTTCATCGTCATTATTTTCACCATCATCATTTCAGCCACAGCCCCACTGGACAAATGTCACTTCAATGGTTTCCAGATTGACCGGTCGAAAGCCTGCATCCAGTGCATTCTTGCAACCTCGTTCGTTTCAGCCAAATGACGTCCACTGCTGGACAAAGGCCTCCACCAAGGTTTTCCATAATGAACGGTCCTGCGCTGCCCGCATCCAGGCTCTTCCCGCGACCTTTACCAGATCGTCGGTCCACCTAGTAGGAGGCTTGCCCAGGCTACGTCTTCCAGTCCGTGGTCGCCACTCTAGAACTTTCCTGCAACCTATAGAAGATCATTTGTCCACCTTGTGGTGAGCAATAAGACATCCTGGATAGAAAACTTACTAGATAGATCCAACAGTTATCGTCATCAGGTCATTTAGAGTCCACTGCTCTAAATGACCTGAATTCAGTGTACTGCTTAGGCCGTTTTGAGTGGTGGGAGCCTGATGTCCTGTAACACAGGTATTTTATACCTAGCTCAGGCATCAGTCTCACACAAACTAGTGACTGAAACTTAATGTTAATGTACCTGTGCTCTGTATTATAAGTTTATGATGAGAAAAATAAACTATTTTATTATTTATTATTATTATTATTGGCACGACCTTCCAATTTACAGAAGCAAATGGAAGCTTTGACCTACCTTTTACGACATCCACGGGAAGACTGGGAGTGGTCCTGTTTTGTACTCTGCCGGAAACAACGACGTTGTGTAGGCATATTCCCATTAGGGAATGGGATGTTATGGATATGTAGTTTCGGTTATAGATACGGTTACGGATATAGGATTAATTTTATACCGGTTTCAATTACGGTTACGAATATGATTTTATTTCGGATATCCGAAAGTTTCGGTTACGGTTACGGATAACTGTGCTTTAGAATGCAATTTGCAATAGTTGTTCAACACAGTTCATTCATGGCCGCACACTTTACATCGAATAAAAAGTAATAAAAAAATAAAAATTGATACTAGACAGTATTATAAAGGTAAATCGCTGTTATTCCTTTGCATATCCGAAACTATCCGAAACTTTTGAATCGGTTACGGTTTCGGTTATTTTTTTATTCCGGATATCCGAAAGTTTCGGTTACGGTTACGGATATCAATAACATCCCTGACCCATATCCACCAATAGTTCCCTGAGTACAGCAGTTTGTCTTTGAACTCACAATAAATTCAATCTGTACAGGAAGTGTTGTTAGTAAAATTATTCATTTATTTCCAGAATGACAGTGGTGCTGACCAAACATGTGAGTGAATTGGCGACTCTCTTCACCGAGAAATTGAACTCCATCAATAGTGAAAACAAGGAACAAATCAACAACTACATCACCAATATATTTTTAGAGGTAAGTTTGTAAGGCTCTCTTTTTGCTAACGGACTAAGATCGTAATTTTAACGTGTTTCAAGCCAATGGCTGATAGAAATTATCAATGAGAGCTTTCGGCTTCTGGTTGGTGTCAGATTTTACCTATAATATGATTTCTCTGTATGAGTTTGTTATGGCTGAATCAAATCTGAAAAATAGAATTATATAATATTAATTCGTGGGATCCTAAATGGTCGCATGAGACTGCGGTAACAATTGATTTCTAGTGTGTCTCAAGTCGCTGGTACTTGTAAACTACAGTAAAATCTTATAGAAATCAAACCTTTTAAATTGTTTTGTAAATTAAATGAAACAAACAATTTTAAATGTTTTAACATATGTTTCCATATCACATAATAACTTGACAGTTTCACACTTTATAAATAATTCAATTTATAAATAAATTCATAATACGTATTAATTTTATTTATTTATCCTTGTTTCAGGCCGGCAACAGCTCTACGTATATACAAAATGCATTCCAATTAGCACTACCCATTCTACAAATTGGCGCTGTATAGATATTATTACTTACAACTTAGACTAAAATTATGTTACAACATTAAATGTTAAAAATAAATGGTGTTCATCAAATCTCACATTTAAAGCTTAATCTAGCAAATAATTAAATAACATATGTATTATTATTATAATATTCTTATAATTATTTGGCAAAAACAATTTTACAAAGCTGATAAAAATAACACTATCCTATCTGCCAAAATGCGGCAGGTTTATTTTATTTAACATAAATGTATGTTTTTTAAAACAGCTTCTAAATATTTTCTAATTTTATTCGTGCAATTCAAATAGGCGTAAGTAATATCACTCAAAAGGTGAGTATAGACTAGTAAATACAAGTAAATGCTCGTCACTAGAGCATTTACTTGTAACAGAACAACGAGCCGCTCTATGTCGAGTATTTCACCCTGTCACGAACCAAACGTCATACAATTTACCTGTATTGTAAGAGTAGGTGCACACCGTTGATTTTTTGTCGGCCGATAGTTTAGTCGGGCAGTAGATCAGCCCCCTTAGACAAAACGCACTTTTTGATCGAATCGAAAATCGAATCCGTCAAAACTCCATACAAAAAAGGGGCTTTCGACCACTTTTCGACTGGTTTGCGATTATAATTTGCACATTGTCTAGACCATCAGTATGGGCATGTAAGGGAGTGCGCACACTACGCCGATTCGATTTGGCCGATTCTTCATACAATTTAAAATCGGGCACAACTATCGGCCAACTAAAAATCAACGGTGTGCGCCTACTCTAACCATTGGCAAGAATGTTATTAACCTACAAATGGTCTAGTGACTAGAGTCTAGTCTTTACACCTTTATGTGTTTAAAAGAATATTTATGTTACGGTCAAAGTGATAAATGTGAAAATTATGAATAATCGCCGGTTATTATGAATAATTACCGCATGATTTGGTTAATGTGATTAATATGAGGTCATTTATGTGTGTATAAAACTAAATAGGCGGCTTAGGGGTGGCCCAAGGGCCACCCCCGCCGCACCTTAACCTATTTTTCACTTTAAATCAAAACATTATGTTATAGGCATCATGGAAAAGTAATATTATGCAAGAAACATTCCAAACTCATTATGCCAAATTATATTAATATATGATATCAAAACGTTCAAAAGTTTGGCTGTACACGAGCACGTACACAATATGTTGTTCTCTTTTAAGAAATTTGTTAGTACTAAGGTTGAATTATTAAATAATCACTGTTAAATGTGATTAATTTATCACTTTTACCGCGACTGTCGGTAATTATTCATAATAACCGGTTATTATTAATAATTTTCAATTTATCACATTAACCGTAACATTTATACTATGAACATATTTTTATGTCGATATGGATCGTCTTCTAAAAACGTACTTATCGTAACTTATTTGCCTAAAATTCTAAACATTTAAAATAAATTGTATGAATGTTGTATTATACGTAAATGTAAATTTAATGTAATTGTTCTTATGTAGTAGGTATGTATGTATATGTACAACTTTATTTTATTCGTGACAATAAGCTCATTGTCGGTACTAAATAAATCGTTTTGTACAAAATCAAAAATTGTTTTATTTACTATCATTCACCTGCAGTATTTCTATCTAATATTAGTAGTAAGTCTAATAAATAAGCAGTGGGCCAGCTATACTAATTTGGTCATGATACTTTTGAAAGGGCTTTAGGGCCCTTCATATTTGCGCTTACTAGTTGGCGCCACTGTCGGAGAAAGGTCCTATCGCTCACAAAAAAAATGGCCACAATGTGAAACCCTTTGATAATGTGTAATATTCGGATTACTAATGTTTGGCCAAAAAACGTTTCCCAAATTATCACATCGCAAACAACGTTTCGCAAATTTTCATTTGGCAAATTCTCATTTGGCAAAACAACTTATTGCAAACTTTTAATTCGCAAATGTCGTTTTTGGCATTTTATTGTTTAGCAAATTATTGTTTGGCAAAGTATGTTTTGCCAAATGTTTCATTTGGCAAAAATATTTCACGATAAACTATTTACAAAATAATTTGATTGGTGCATAGAATGAATACACATTAGCTTGTGGTTATTATTTTGTTTAGTGGGTAGTTAATATAAAATTTCTTCTAAATTAATTTTCTTATTTCATTCTTTTTATCGAAATTTCCAAATGATTCATTAACAATAGAGGTGATTCTGGCGCTCGGCGGCCGCTGCCGCGGCACGCTTCGCTCGCCTTCGCGCATTAAGGGTCACTGTTCTAACCTAACCTAACCTACTATTTTCTGCAATACCTACTTTCTGCAACCATCCTATTTTCTGCAATCTCTTTGTTTTGCCTAAAATTCTTGTGAAAACCATGATCGTATGCTTTGATTTGTGGGTAATAAGTATGTGAAGTGTCAATTTGACCAAACAAATTATTTGGGATATAATATTTGGCAAAATAAAACATTTGCTATATAGACATTTGCCAAGTAAAATTTTGCCAAATGATAATTTGACCAAATGAATTAGTTGCGAAAAGTACAGTTGCTAAAAGTTCATTTGGGAAATTAAACTTTGGCGATAAGTTGTTTGCGAAGTGAAATTTGGCGAAAAGTAATTTGGCCAAACGGAAGGATACCGTAATATTCCGTGCATCAATGACCTCAAAGTATGAACCAATACTTATTTCAGCTTGCTCTATACTGTTCTAACCTAAATAAAAAATCTAGGCTGGCAATCTAATTATAATAAAAAATAACTTGAATACTGTAACTTTTTTTTTGAAAATCACAATAATTCATAACCATTTGCAGAAGTTAGCTTTATACATTAACGTCATTACAAAATCAAACTTTTTTATAAATTAATAAACTTCATTTTCGCCTGCAGGCATCCTGGCTGCAACCAAATGCACACGAACACAGCAAAACGTATAATAGCGAGGATAATCTGAGAGCCTTTGTAAGGACACCTGTTCGCTTGGCCCTTGTGCTAAAGAATGTTATGGATATGCCTCAAAAAACAGTCCTTTGATACATGAAATGAAACCTCTTTTTCCTCCGATACTAAAAAATACTTAACTTTCTACCTGCGTCTGTAGAAATGTCGGATAATAAAACGTACGTGGGTTCCTTTAAGTTTATTTTTTCAGCTTTGCAACCTTTTACTCACTCACTGCCCCAAAATCCAAAACCAACAACTAAGGCCCAATTTTTTGATTCGTGGTTAATAAAACTAATTGTTAAATTTTGCTACTAATGGTTAAATATTAACAAACTGTAAACTAATAGTTAAAAATGTACTAAAAGTGAATTTGTTTTACTATCTGTAAAAGAATGAATACGCATAAGAAAAAAAATGCTTCGACAAAGGTTTTTTTTGCATATTTTTTAAAATAAATCTCGAATCGGGCACTGCAACAAAGCCAGCGGTTTGTTTGAAAGTTTTTAAGGTTTCCTAATATAAAAATACTACATCAATAGTAAAATCTCTAAACTTTAATACTTTGTTCAGTTGTTTCGTCATAAAAATCTAAATAAAATTAACAGCAAGTGGCCTTACCTAAATAAGTCCTGCTCCTGCCTGACAAGTTTTTCCAGGGATGGCTGGCATAGCTGAAGAGGCTGAAAATAGAGGAAAATTAGAAAATTGCACATAGGTAATGGAAATCTTGGAACTAAACTATAAAAATGTTAGGCTTTTGTTAGGAAATTTTGACTGTGGTGTATCCACATTAGTATTTCGTAATATAAGTTTCTCGATAATAGCCATTCACGTGCGTGGCCCACATCTGCTGCAAGGGTTGGGACAATTCGCCAATTCGCCGACGTTCGCCGAGTAGGGTTGTCAATTAAAATATTTATTTATTGAATATTTTATTAGGCCTATACATTAGCAAAGTTAGAGAAAAGAGTAGATAAGATATTGTGATAAATGTCCGTTCCAATTTTTTTTTCTTTCGACGTAAAATTGCGTAACTTGAAAGAATTAAAGCCATCTAAGGACCTTTAAGCTAAATTAAACAATAACAATGGGCGATATTACGACTTCGTCTCTCTAGATTGTAGTTCACCAGATCGTGATCTTTATAATATTAGTTTGATGATTTTATTATTTATTATTCCTTTTTCCCGTATTTGGCAGCCCTGGGCAGTATTCGTTTTCCCGCCACGTTTCGCGTCATGTGTGATGGAGGATGCGGTTTTTGATAGGGGAACCTGTTGTACTTAGGCCAGTTTTTAGAATTTTGATTTTTTGAAAAATAATGGTGATAGTTAAACTTGTCTAGTGCAGTTATATTTAAAGATCATTTAATTAACTACATAATTCATTCATAAAATTGGGTATAATTTTAAAAATTTGGGCATACTAGCTGCTAGAAAAAAAAAAGGGAAAACTGTCCTAGGTACAACAAACCAGATGTACCTTGGACCGTGTACTTTGTACCCATTTAAATTTAAATAAATGCTTATATTCGCTTCAATTTGTTAATTTTCTGTTAAATTATTATTTGAAATACCAATTATTACAGTTATTAGCAACAATATCTAAGTAAAAGTATTTTTTAAAAAAGATCCTCATCCATATTTTTTGTACTATTTATTTTTCACAATTTTTTGGCAACAAATCACTTAAGTTTAAGCCGGCTCTCCAGTCCATGTTTAGCCTTACACAATCAACAAAAATATGACAATATTCAACATTTTTTCTAGAAAATTTTGTTGAATGTTGATAATGTTATGTCGTGTAGGACAAAATACGCGCTGGAGTGGCTTTAACTTTCAATCTAGATTTTTTTATTTCTTATCATTTAACTTAAATTCTAGCAAAATATCCATTAAAACCGCTTTATCAACAAATATAATCTTAAAAAAGTCATATGAAGATACATTAAACGTAAATTTAAAAAAACATTAGAAATTAAAAAATATATATCAAAAACAGACTTTAAATTGCTATTTTGAGGTCTTCGGGGCATTGTTTCTATAACAGTATAATATGTTTTTTTTAGTACAATAAAATTCTCATTAAAACGTAATGAAAATCAGTGACCAAGGTACATCGCTAGTTGGGTGGTCAAGGTACAACATTACGACTACTTCACTTAATAAGCTTAATAAACCCACTTCCATTTGAGCTTAGGATCTGAAACTCATATCGTCCAGTAGCTAGATATATAAAGATTATGTTCTAACTATAACCGTTTTGTCAAACATGCAACATTTTTCATAAATTGACATGAAGTAAACCTCCAAAATCTCACTGCGTCAGTGTAAAATATTAAATTACCATTTTTTCTTGTACTTGCACGGCGTCGGCGAATCTTAGCTAACTTCACGTTAATGTTGACAAATAACGTATGTAATACCCTAGACAACTTTTCATAAAACCTCATAATTTAAAAAATATATACAATTGTTTTAGG